ATCTTAAATTAAAGCTTATGTAATATACTTTAATTTGAAAAAAAAAAATTTGACCTCTGGACTTGTCTTCGTGGTGAAAACGGACATCAAAGTTAAAGAAAAACGTACGATTTCCGTGAAAAAAATCTCGATTTTATATGTTATATTATTTAATTTATATTTTATATAACTTTTGGAAAAATGTATGGATCTATATTATTATTTTTTTATAATAAATATTGATATACCCCTTTCATCTGGCACGCTTTTTTTGTAAATCGGATCATACCCCTTTAACAAGGGGGGTCAAAACTTTAAACATGCGTATTGTTACTACGATATTTTCAATTTAATTTTTGAAAGTATTCCGGAAATACTGACACTTTTAAATATATCTTAAATTAAAGCTTATGTAATATACTTTAATGTGAAAAAAAAAAATTTGACCTCTGGATTTGTCTTCATGGTAAAAATGACTACCGTATGCAAAAATATGCTATTTTTGTGTTAAAATTCTGGGTTTTGTATTTTATTTTATTTTAAAATACCTGACAAGGGGAGTACAGATTTTCATAAATATTATATAAATTAAAATTGATATAGTATAGATAGTTAAACTTATTTAAATATGTTTGTTTCTTTTAAGTCGAGAAAAATAACTTTGAAATTTGAACTAGCTTAAATAGCCAATTTTTCAACCGCCGGAAGCAACGTACGGTTGCCGAGTTGGTAAAATTTATGTTTTACACGCTTGGGGTACGAGGTTCCAACCCGCATATGGCAATGAATTTTTTGCATTTTTTCTTAATTCTTTTTAAGTTAGTATAAATTTTAACTCGTTTGATTTTTATCACATTTAGATTCAATAACTTCAATAAAGATCAAGGATCCCATCACTTTAGTCGCCCCTTGCAAGAAGAAATTTCTTATTCGTATTAAAATTATTTTACTATATTTTAAGTTTTCGCTTCGATGCAAAGCCGAGAAGATATTTTTTTGTGACTATCATTTATTTTCTCTGCTCTAACTTGACCTACTTTTTTCAACAATACGTCAAATTACTACAATTCGTATCTAGTTGAAGATATTACTCTCAAAAATTGAAAAAAAAATTCTAATTTATCAATTAAACAGTTAGTTATTACATCGTCTCCATAAAGACAATTAAAATCATTAATTTCTAATGTTTTCAAAATATTTATTAACGAATGAAGTTTGATATGATAGGTTTCAACTACAAAATTAAATCATTTTACTTTGTAATTTAATAATTTTTTTACTCTATTTGTGTGTGCTACTACTAGACTATAATATTACAATTTTTTTTTGTAACATGTTGCTATATAAATCATTTCTAAAAAAAATGATTGTTTTTTCTCCTGAATTAACAATTGATTTTTACAAATATAATCAAATTTTATAATACACTCAATTGAGTAAATCTTTTTAACAACTTTGTTTTGATTGGTACATTTAGTTAAAGTAAATCATTAAAATTAATTAAGTTCTCAATATTTCAATTATAGAATCTTTTCAACAAACAACAAAAGTTCCTAGGAAATTATTACTATTACTTCTATTTAAGTTATCTATTACCATAAAAATGCAAAAAAATATTGAGCTTTTCTGATAAATTTACAATAAATAGTAATTATAAAACTTTCTGACTGCATATTGATCTTAACGATACAATTTTTTTAATTGTCATAAAATTTTCTATTTAATTATGTCAATGTCAAACTTACCAATTGAGCTAAAAGTTATGGTAAAATAAATTTTTTTTTTTTATTATAAACATTTACAACAATCAACTTTAAACGATTAACAAAATAGGTTAAATATGTCATTTTCCTTATTTTTAACTTATTAATAATCAAATTAATATTAAATATTATATCAAATCAGTATTAATTTAAAACAATTTTTTTTGTTCTTAATTATTTTTTTTTATATGTAAAAACTATTTTTTAATAATATTAAAACTTAGAAGTTATAGAAAAAGTCTAATTGCACATTTTAAAACATCGCGAAAAGTTGATTTAGAATAGTATATTTTTGTTTCTGATGGAAGTTCCTTGTAGTCCAGTGTATAAAACTTATAACTTTGTTAATTGTTATAACTTTATCAAAAATGACCAAATCAGTATATTTTTTTTTATTTAGATGCATGTCTTTATCTATCATTTGGTTTTTTTTATAAATCTAACCCTTTACCTGCCCACAAGAGGGATTCAAAATATTAACTTTTTTTTTTTTAGTTAAAGTAAATCATTAAAATTAATTCAGTTCTGGATATTTCAATAGTAGAATCTTTTTAAATATCAAAAATTACTTAGAAATGATTACTATGATTTCTATTTAAGTGTTCTATTACGATAAAAATGCAAAAAATAATGAGTTTTTCTGATAAATTTACAATAAATAATAATTATAAAACTTTCTGACTGCATATTAATCTTAAAAATAACATTGTTTTAATTCTCATAAAATTTTCTATTTAATGATTCATTCTAGTCAACGAAGGAGTAATTTTGCAGAATAGCAGAAAAAATTCCCAACAAACTTTTTTTTTTTTTGTTTTAATTAGGCAATTGGTGGATTATTCCAAAAGCAACATCAACTCTTATTTCTTTAATTATATCATGATTAGTAGTTCTTTGATTTTAAAATATAATATATGAATATATACTAATTATAATTATTAAATTTAGTATGAAATTGATATTTAATATTGTAATTTAAACGGAGAAATTATAAAAATAATAAAGAAGTTATATTTTGCTTTACTTTTACGTGTATAAAAATTTAAAGGGCTTGATACAATAATTTTCAATAAAAACTGTTTGTTACTATAAAAAAATGCACTGGACTACAAGGAACTTTCATCAGAAGCAAAAATATACTTTTCTAAATCAAATTTTCGCGTTGTTTTCAAATCTGCAAGTAGACTATTTCTATCACTTCTAATTTTTTATATTATTACTAATTATATATATAAAATAATAATTAAAAGAAAAAAAAATTTGTTTTCAAATTATTACTGATTTGATTTTTAATATGTTAAAAATAATCAGTCCAAATTTTCAATTTTAACCTATTTTTTTGGTTCTTTAAAGTTGATGAAAAATTTTTGATAAAGATTTATGAAAGTTTATAGTAAAATAAATTGAATATATTACCATAACTTTTAGCTCAATTACAAGTTTAAAATTGACATCTAGGCCTGTCAACAAAGGAAAAATTGCGGAAAAAATTTTGTTTTTTTAAAAGTTGAATTAAAATATGTATAATGACATACTAATAGTCCTCAAGATTGGAATTGAGCTTTTTTTTTAAATCCTCGCAAAAGTTCAAAAATATGAGCTTTCTTAATTTTCTCAAAAAAAAATATTTAACTTACAAAAAAAAGTTTCGCACAAAAGTTGTTTAAAAGACAATTATAAATAAAAATATAATCTTATATTTTTTCATTTAAACAAATATTTTTCGAGTTACATTACATTTAATATGAGTAATAAAATTTATATTCCATTTTTTTCATTTTACGGTTACTTTTTATCATGTTATACTTACATTAGACACAATGTTATAAATGCATATGTGTGTATGTGTGAGTTTATTTATTTATTGTATCATTAAAGTGTAGTGTATATTGAGATACAACCGATAGAGTAGGTAATTGATTTGACGCTATATTATTTAAACCCAACTAAACGCTAAATTGTACATTCCGAAATAACAATCATATTATGTCAATTGCCACCGGAATATCTGGTAATATTTTTCTTTTTCTTTGCCTTAATCCCAACTACTTGGGGTCGGCCACCCTTATCCTAAGCTTCCACTTGACACGATCTCCCACATCTTCTACGCTCACATCAGCTGTCCTCAAATCGCATTCAATAGCATCCCTCCATCTCTTTTTTGGTCTTCCTCTATCTCTTCTTCCTTCAACATTCATTTCTATAACTGTTCTTACAGCTTTCGATTCTTCTTTCCTCATACCATGACTAAACAATCTAAGTCTATTTTCTGTCATCTTATCCACGATTGACGCAACACCTATACTTCCTCTTATATGCTCGTTCCTTATCCTATCTTCTCTAGTCACTCCACTCATCCAACTAAGCATTCTCATCTCTGCTACACTTATTCTCTGCTCTACTTTCTTATCAACCGCCCAACACTATGAACCATACATCATAGCTGGCCTCACAATTTCATACTAAATTTAAAAACTATAATTAGTATTTATTCATATATTATATTTTAAAATCAAAGAACTACTAATCAGGATATAATTAAAGAAATAAGAGTTCATGTTGCTTTTAAAATATTTCACCAATTTCTCTAAAGGAAACACTATCTACAGATTTGCATCGAAGCGTTTCTTATGATAGTGATTTTAATCACTGTCAGATATCATCTATACTTATCTCATCTATGCCACGTCTATACTGTGCCTCGACCCCACTGTGCTACCGTTTTTTTTTTTAATTGGTAATATTTGATATCTTTTAAACTTTTTTGACTTATTACTACCCATGAAATTCTGAAAAATACATCAATAAAAACACATTATTTTTATAAATACCTTAGTTATTTTCTTATCATTTGGTATATATTTTGTGTAAAAATTGGAAAATTAAATTAATTGTTGTACAAAATCTTATTAGAAAGTATTTTTAAGAAATTAGTGTAATCTGTATTGGCTTAGTATAAGAGGTTATTACGGTATCAATCCTTTCTAATTTTTTATTGGAAAATATTTATTATAACTTAAAACCTGTTTACATTGATAAAATAATAATAATTGCTGAAAACTTAATGGAACGTTTTTACTTTTTAAATCATATAATACATTAAACAAGCTTTAATTTAAAAAAAGTTAGAACTATGTAAGTATTATGTTACTGTGAAAAATATTACAAAATTGTTATTATTATTAGTATTATGATATTATTAATGATATTCCAAAAATTTTATAATTTTTTGTATGAATGACTAATAACTGCTACAAATCAAAATTACAAATAGTTTTTATTTTTTCATCTCAAAGTACATTGTATTAGCTTTAATTAATTAGTGTCAGTTTAAAGAAGGTATGTTTTTTAGAATAATACAAATTTTATTGAGTGGTTTTGTAGAACTTTCTAAAAAAATCAAAATAAAAGAATTTGATACGATGATTATGATCAATATATTGAAAAGGTATGTTGTACAGGACGGCTCAGATTGAAATGGTTTATGTCCACTTCGCTTGTGTTAGATACCCACCCTATGTAAAAAAATATTTGTAACTCAATAAGTACTCTAAAGTTGTTATCGATCCATAAAATTTTTTTGTAATAAAGGGCTAAAAATTATATACTACAATACTTTATATTTGATAAAATAAAAAATTGTGTTTGATTATTATTCTATAGGTTGAAACTTTAACCACATTCCATTTTTTGGTCTCATAATTAATGAACGATTCTCAAATTGCATTGGTATTAGCGTTTTTTCACATGGAAGTAATTCGTATCTCATCAAAATCAGTGAAATAGCTAGTTTGATTTCAATTTTAGAAAATATTTCACCTGGAAAATTTAACAGTGATAATAGTATAATGAAAAAGCCATTTGTTAAACTAAAATACAAATTAAAAATAAAATTTTTTAATTAAATAGATTAATGATATACCTAAACAATTACGAGGACCGTCTCCAAAAGGTAGGAAAGTACTGTTAGGACGTTTGGCTTTTTCTTCGGGAGAAAATCGTTCTGGATCAAACTTCATTGGATTAGGATAGTACTTTGGATCCATATGAATACAATAAGGAGAAATCATTATTTTTGTATTTTTCTCTATAACGAAGTCTTCATCTGGTATTTGATAAGGTTTTTCTACCTCTCTCATTATGTCCAAAGGAGTATACATACGTAAAGTTTCTATTAATTTTACATAAAGCAATCAAATTAAATTCACATAAAAATGTTAATAAAATTTCATTAAAGATTTTAAGTCGATAGTGAATTTTATTATGAAATATAAGTGTAATTATAAAAAAATACTTGATGTATAGATTATCAAATTAAAACTATTTTAAAAGAAATAAGTGGTAAATAATAAATGAATATATAAGTGAACCTTGTATATTTATAAGCCATTCAATGTATTAAAATGCTTGTAACTCAATAAATATTTTTCCTAAAATTTCTATTATCCAATTATCAATTTTGTAAAAAAAAATAAATGATAAATCTGGCTATTTTAAAAACTTTTAATTAAAATTATTTGTTTTTATTATAACAGACAGAGATAAAAAATATTATGTGACGTAGTCTAAAAATTACAACAGAATGTTAATTTTATCAAGTTATTTTCGATGTGTCGAATCAGAGAAGGTTTACTTTTAGTATGATGTGTGTATGTGTGTTTATTTTTGTGTCAGTCTATAAAAATTCTTATTTCTTACTAGATAGATTTTCTGAAAGAAACTATAAGAATTTGAGTTTAATATAGTTGAACATATTGTCTTCAAAAGTTGAAAAAGTCATTTTTATTTTTTTGCACCAAAAGTTAACTATCAGAAGTAACTTAATTTATTCTAAAATTTTAAAAATGTTTTAAAATTTAGTAATTAGTAATATGGCCAAACTATGAGATTATTTTTATTTTTATAATAGCAATTATTTAAATAAAAATGTAATATTAGTAAATATTTTATTGGTTATACCCCGAATACAAAATAATATATTTTTTTTGAAAATGTTCCTGAATATTTGAATTATTTAAGTATAAACTAAATTAGAGTTGACTTAACGTACAATAATATGAAAATAAACTTGGGTTCAATCTTTGGCTAAGTCAATGTTGTTCATTTATGCAAATTCGCTGTATTAATGTTCATTTTTATTATATAATTTTACTTTACCACATATGACCATTTCTAAGTAATGAAGTTCTCCAAGAAATTCATAGTTTAAAGTTCCATTGTGTTTTGCTTTGGCTTGAAAAACTTCTTTTCGTACATGGTCCTGAATATTTTTATTGAGTGCAAGTTGATACAAGCAAAATTCCATAGTTATAGCAGTTGTCTCAAAACCAGCAACAAAGAAAAAAAACGCATTCGCTATAATATGTATCTCTTCAAAAATAACTTAAACAGAAAGAAATTTATCACCATTATATTAGTGTAATATTGGAGTGATGATACTTTTTCATGATAGCTTAATTATCTGTATACAATTATATGTTATATACATATATAATAAATACTACCTTTATTAAATAATAACATATTTTAACATACAAATTAAAATTTATATATCCCGTAAATCATAGAAAATATAATGTTTATTGTTTTATGCGATAAAAGAATTCCAATGAGGCTGAAAGGCAAGTTCTATAAAACTCTAGTTAGACCAGCTATGATGTATAATTCAGAGTGTTTGGCGTTTGACTAGAAAGTAGAGCAGAGAATGAGTGTAGCAGAGATAAGAATACATAGATGAATGAGTGGAGTGATTAGAGAAGATCGTGATAAGATGAGAGAAAATAGACTTAGATACTTTGGTTATGTTATGAAGAGAGAGGAATCGGAAGCTGTAAAAAAGTTATTGAAATGAACGTTGAAGGCAGAAAAATAAGAAGACGACCAAAAAAGAGATGGACGGATGATTATGTTGGAGATTGTGTCAAGTAGAAGTTTAAAATTAGAGTGGTCGACCCAAGTAGTTAGGATAAAAGCAGGTGAAACGCTACACAGGGAAAATAAGAGGATGAATCTTTTTTTTATGTGTATTCATTATTATAACTATAATTTACTTTTATTTTATTAATTATATAAATACATTGAAACTTTTATGAGTAACGTAAATATTCTCTAAAAGAAAATGATTCTGTTATAGGTTGACCAAAATTTATTAGCTATTCGTTAAATTCGGTTAAAAAATTGTCGAGACTTATTTTTATAACTTAGAATAATAAAAATATTTAATTATCATTTTATTACGATGATTGTCATTTACCCATAGGAATTATTCAACATCTGACTTAATTTAACGATTGAATTTTAATTAAAAAATTATTTTAAATTAATACTATTTTGTTACCTGGAGATTCTGACTTATCAATAACTAGATCTTTTTTTGCCTGTAACAGATAATCCACTATATCACCTCTAAAAATATTGTTTTTTTCACGGTAGTCCATTGTATGTCGAAATGCTTTTTCCATGAATTCCAATGCGTCAGATGGAAAATCCGTAACATTAATCACTTTTCGTAGTTTCGGTGAAATAAAAAATGTCAAAAATTTCATCTGAGTCAATAGTGATGGTTTTAGTAATAATCTACCAGCTTTATGAAATGGAGAATCATCATAAGTTATTTCACTCAATTTTAATCCAAAACCACAAACACCAATCACATCCATAGATAAGTTTTCCAATAACTTTTCGATATTTATTATGTTTGAATTATTTAAATTTTTTTTTATATTTATTAATAATTCCTCACAACACTCTTTTGTAGGTTCTAACAAATTCTTCAACTTGAAGGGCGTAAAAGCAGGGCTTATTTTGTCTCTCATGATTTTCCACTGTTGACTTTTCATATTATACAAATGATTTGACAAAGGTGTTGATACAACATCACAGGGAGCTCCATGATTAATGAAGTGTGAAAAATCTTTAATTAGTACTCGATTTATCAATTCTGGATCACGTAAAAGTAACATTGGTGTCCTCATAAAATAAATTCCAATATACTTTTTTCCAAATCCTTCACGATACAATTTTAGATAAGCACTACTCACATTAACTTTTCCCATTGTCAAATGAAAAAAATTTCCGAATAGAGTCATAGGGTGAACGAACGGTACATTTTTCTTTTTCCAATAGTCGTAGGTTGAATTACACATGTAGTACAACAAAATAAGTAAAATGACGCAAAAAGTTAATGTATACATTGCTAAGTTGAGATTTATTTTATTCGACAATTATTTATTATTTACAATTAGTTTTTACAAATATTTTTTAAGCACATTAAAATAAAAGTTGTGAATTCAATAAAAATATTACTAACACTATTTCAGTTTTGGAGTTGGTTATAAAAGTGAAAATATATAGTATTAATTATTTGCCTTCGTATTTATGTTAAAGTATCAACAAAAATCTTTTATTGATTACTGTGTTAATTAAATTCATGNCGTATTTATGTTAAAGTATCAACAAAAATCTTTTATTGATTACTGTGTTAATTAAATTCATGTGAAAGTATAGGAACGGAAATTTCGTACGAATTAAAATTTAACATTTAAATATTATATAAAAAAACATTTAAATATTTATTTTTAAGGTCATTTTCATAACATTGAATGTCATCATCAGTGTTATTATTTTTTAAGATATTGCCATTATATGTATATAAAATAATTTTAAGCGCACATATAAAATTGTATATTTTAATACATTGAATTTTAGATGTATAATTTTAATAGTTTCTATACATATTTAATATAATAATTCTTTTGTCTTTTCAGCAACAATTTAAAATAATATAGAACAGAAGATTCACATTAATTAAATTAGTACTCAATGTTTCTATTATAATTAAATTATTAAAATAATTTATTATTTTTGAATACTTATTTTCTCTGAAAAATAAATTAATTTATAAAAACGATAGCACATTAGGATCTCGACNTAAATTAATTTATAAAAACGATAGCACATTAGGATCTCGACACAGTATAGACACTTAACCTGTTCATTGGGGGGGATTTAAAATAGCAACTTTTTTCATAAAATATTTACTTTTTCAACTTAACTTTTGAAAGTGTTCCGGAAAGTCTGACACTTTTATATATATATTAAATTAAAATTAATGTAATGTACTTTATTATNTATATATATATTAAATTAAAATTAATGTAATGTACTTTATTATGGAAAAAAAAATTTCGGACTTTATTTTGTCTTCACGGTGAAATTTCTCGATTTTATTTATACCATTTATAACTTTATAATTCTATAACTTATTGAAAAGTATATGGATAAACACAATTTTTTTATGAGAAATTATATTTAATAATTCCTTTTTCATTCCACATACTTTATCTTAATCAGGATATTAATAAGGAACTAGCAGATCATGTAGCTTTTGGAATAATCCATCAATTTCTTAAAATTAAATATTATCTAAAGATTTGCATCGAAGCGTTTTTTTTTTTATAGTGATTTTAATCACTGTCAGGTATCATTATACTTGATCCAACTATGCTACGTCATGTNTATATATATTAAATTAAAATTAATGTAATGTACTTTATTATGTCATATGTGCCGCGACCCCTCTGTGCTGGGTTTTTTATAAGAATTTAACTATTTTATCCTGCCGTCTGTTCAGCGCCACGAATACGCTTATGGTGATTAAAAAGATTGACATTGACATCCGAATGAGCGATATATTTGTAAAAAGTAATAAAATAACTGTCGCTCAGAAAAGTATTTAAAATTGATAATTATTTATGTGAAATAATTATTCTAGAAGTTTCTCAAATATTCTCGAAACACCTATTTTAATTCATTACAAAGTGTGGTTTACATTTAAAGTAGGCAATGTTTTTGTCGTTAATTATACTCTGAACTTATAACACTCAACTGATTCAAACTGAAACTCAAACTGTAACTAGTTAGAAAAAGCTATTAACTTGATCAGTCTTGCTCAGTGAATTATGATACGCTTTTACTATGGAAGTAAACAAATATACAACAAATTTACTGTCGTAATATGCCCAATGCTTTAAATTACGCATCTTACATTTCTCAATGAAAAATTTATTATCTGTATTTTATATTGTATACAAACAAATAATGTTTTATAAAAAAACGAACAAAAAAAAGTTTTTAAAAAGATTTACTCAATTGAGCGTATTATAAAATTTGATTATAATTGTAAAAAACCATCGTTAAATTTAGATTAAACTAAAAATCTTTTTTTTTTTAAATTTATGATTTATATAGCAACATATTACAAAAAAAATTGGAATATTATAGACGGTAGTAGCACACACAAATAGATTTAAAAAATTAATAAATTACAAAGTAAAATTATTTACTTTTGTAGTTGAATACTTTTATCATATCAAATCTAATTCGACAATAAATACTTTCAGAATATTAGAAATGAATGATTTTAATTGTTTGTTTGAAAAAAACTGGTTAAGCTACTTTTTATTTAAATAAGGAATATTTTTTCGATTTTTAAGAGTAATAACTTAAACTAAATACGAATTGTAATCATTTGACGTATCGTTGAAAAAAATAGGTCTAGTGAGGGCTGGCAAAATAAATCGTAGCCACAAAAAAAACCACATAGTAAAATAATATTAATTTGAATAAGAAATTTCTTCTCACGAGGGGAGACTATAGTGATAGGATCCTTCATATTTTTTGAAGTTATTGAATTTAAATGAGATAAATATCAAATGATTTGAAAATTTTATTCTAACTAAAAAAAAATGCCAAATTATTGTCACTGGCGTATTTGAACCTCGTACCCTAAGCGTGAAAGACACAAGTGTTACCGACTCGGTAACTGTTCGTCGTTTTCGTCGCACAATAAAATTAGCTATTTAAGCTAAGTCAAATTTAAAAGTAACTTTTTCCACTTTAAAAAAGCAAATCAATTTAAATAAGTTTAATTTCTTATGTCTTCTGTACTTTATTCTATGTCAATTAAATTATATAATATTCATGAAAGTCAATATATTCTCCTACTAAGATATTTTAAAATAAAATAAAATACAAAACCTAGAATTTTAATAGAAAAATAGCATTTTTATTTTACTGTTGGAAATCACGGCCACTGTGCCATAACACTAATATCCCAAACGGCAGTTGACTTTTTACCATCGTCGCGACCATTACTCTTTTGTCTTATATTTAACTTAAATTAGCTATCAGCAAAACAGTTTGTGTGTGTGTTGCTGTCAGCTCCTTGTTGGATTATATCATCTCTAGATGTCTAGCCGGTTGTGTCGTTTGTAATATTCTTTAACGGAATATCTACTAACTCTTGTAAAACTCACATCATATAAAGATATACTGTTTTAAAAGTACATTTCATTCTTGTTTTTCTGATTTGTCAATAAAGTGTTGGGACAAATTTTTTTTTTCATTTTATAGTACATAAAATAAGCTTTAATTTTATGTTTATATGTTATTTAAATGTTTAAAGGACGCAGTATTTCCGGAACACTTTCAAAAGTTAAGTTAAAAAAGTTCTATTATTTATACAATGTTTCAAGTTTTGAACGCCCCCTCTATAAGGGGAATTTGTCCAATTTTAATAAAAAGTATGTCAAATAAAAGATGTTATATAATGTATTTATAAAAAAAAATTTGTGCTGATACTTACATTTTTCGAAAAGTTATAGCATTTTTAAGTTGAAAATTTAAAATCGAAAATCGAAAATATTAACACAAAAATAGCGTTTTTTTTAACTACGGCAACCATTTGCATGCAGAAGATAAAGTGTCGGGGCAAATTTTTTTTTTCATTTTACAGTACATAAAATAAGCTTTCATTTGGTATATGTTTAAAGGACGCAGTATTTCTGGAAAATTTTCAAAAATTAAATTGAAAAAGTTAGTTTTTGTAAAAAAGTTGCCATTTTCAAACCCCCCCAGTGAGCAGGTTAAGTGTTAAATTTTCAAAAAAATGATATCAAATGAAAAGAAAGTATCTAAGATTTTATTTAAAAAAAAAATTATGTTGATTTGTGATTTTTGAAAAGATTATGGAAGTTTTAAGAAAAAAAAATGAAAAAAATGACAAAATTTACCGATTTTAAAAATTGTAATTTTTTTGAAGANGTGAAAAAAATGACAAAATTTGTCGATTTTTAAATTTGTAATTTTTTTGGATATTTCCCCCATTTGCGGGGAACGAGGGAAAATTTTTAAATTTTTAAGGGTAATGTCTTCAACTAGATACAATTTGTGATCTTTTGACGTATTGTTAAAAGAAATCGGTCCAGTGAGAGCTGAAAAAAAGTAATGACAGACACAAAAAAAAAAAAATAAAAAAATAAACACATCATGGTAACATTAATACCTTCTCAGCTTCGCATCGAAACTAAAAATTTTTCTTTCGAGCAATTTATTTAGGTATTATGTATAGGGTAACTATATTAAAAATTGAATAGCCCATAACTAAACAAACAAATTAAAAATCTACAAAACAAAGTTGAATCATTATAAATTATAATCATTATAAAACTATACACATAAAAGTATTTGGTTTATCTTTTGTGTTTGCCGTTGAAACTGGCTTTGTTCCAGTTACTTTAAGAGAACATTTTAACAAAATAGATTCAAATATTGAATTAAAAAAATTAATAAACAGTCATGCCCTTAGTTCATTTTGGCATGAAAAACAAAATATCTTTACAACTCAACTATTATTAACTAATAATTTATGTAATTTAGTTAGAATACCTATTGATAATTTTATTATTATTTCATTAAATAATTTAAATATATCAAAATCAATAATACTTCCATGTATTAACAATGTATCAACTGACAATTTAATTGAAATGAAAATAAAGTTTAAAAATTTATAAGTGTTCCGATTAAATCTCAAATATTAAATAAAACTATTGGTCAATATCCTGGATTGTGTGAGCTTCCGGAAGAATTAATATTGTACATAATAACTTGATTGGATTCTAAATGTTTATATTTATTAATGTTGATTTCTAAAAAATTAAATGCTTTAGCAGTTAAATCCTAAAGTTTATGGAAAAAATTACTATATGGAGAATTTAAAGATTCATATAATAGGGGTTTTCATCCCACAAATCAATAAATGAGTGGAGATTATATTATTTTATGTAGAAAAACTATTACAATTGTATGGGAATATACATAATTAATAAAATTATAAAGTAATACAAATAAATTTACTAAAATTGTCTTGTTTAATAATATATTGATAAAACATCAAAATAAAAATTTTGTTTTGTATTTTTTATTTAAACCTGTATTTTAATTGTAATTTAATCAAGTACAATTAATTTATATGATATATTATAATAATTTTTTTAAGTAAAAACAAA